CATACCGTGTGGAAGACTATCCTGGTTCTCACGACCCTAGTATCCGGATCTGGAGCTAACCGTTAGCGCTAACCGTTAGCACCTTCCTCTCAAATCCTTCTTTCTGTCTCCAAATGCCGTACCAAAACCTATGGTCAATGTTCTTTTACTTTTGCTTCTGCCTATTTCTGGAACCAACTTCCAAATTAAATAACTTCTTCCTACTCTATTTGCAACTTTAAGTCACATCTTAAAACCTATTTGTTTTCCGATGGCTTTTCACATGTGTTGCGCCTTTGATCTTGTTTGGAATTGGCGCCATACAAATTCGAGATATTATTATATGCAAGACGAAATTTAAAACGGGAAACATTTTATTAATCTACCACGTGATAAAATAAAACTAAGTATCAAATGATTTTAACTATCACACAAGACGTATGATTCACACGTACTTCTTTCTACATGTAAAAATGCTTGCGATACATGCCGCTTTGCACGTACTTTGCAGCCTCCCCACGTCGTGCAGTGAGCCATCACAAGAATGCATAACGTCAGCTCTGCACCATGTGCTTTTGTTGACCTGGTAAGGTCATGTGATCCTGGCCTAGTTACATGTACCCAGGATTCTCAGGAAGTAGTCGATATTATTCTTGAAATAGGGGTGTTCGCAGTAATCTTAAATGCTTTTCTTCACAGTGTACAATTTATTCTTACTTATTGCTCTTAAAATTAAACAAAATATATTTTCAAAATGAATTCTAATATCGTTTTATGAAGTTTTATTTATTGTCATATAGAATAAATGTGATTAATATTTCTTGTGTTGCCTTTGTTTACATCAATTAACTGGCCCTGACCTAGGTAATTTTGACGACGCCATATTTGTTTTCATCAGTATGCTCGGAAAGAAGCCACGAGGGTAAGTAAATGTAAACAAACTATTTTATTTATGATTATTCACTTTGCCTTAAGAATTTTTGGAGATACATGTAAGAGAATACGAAGTTAATTCATTGATGTCTATTCCAGTTAAAAAGTTGACCAAATGCTGTTTATGTATAAACAATTCACAGTCAGATTTTCGCGATGCGCGAATTGGGTTTGGCCTTTTCTCTGTCTACCACCATTTGCAGTGAAGTGAATTTTATGTCAACACTCAGGGTATATGTGTTTGTAGTGACTACTAAAAAGCATTCATATAGACCCTAATAGTCTGTCAGTATTAAACCCATCAAGCTTTCAAATAAATCGAACGGATGGAGTAAATATAAAATAACTAACAAAATAATTTACTTCAGGTCAGGTGATATGTCTGTTCCTTGACATTTTGATTGGTCAGTTTCAAGTGTTTTTTATATAATTATTGATTGGGTTGCATTCGTTTAATTGTGCTTCAAGATTTAGTGTATGGCAACTTTAACCATTTCCTGGTAACTATTTAATGAAATGTGGTGAATTTAATTGTGTAGGTGTAATGACAAAAGTATGATGTGCAGATGTTTGATGCGCTTCTTGAGTGTTTGGTGTAAGGCCTAGACCTATCTTCTACTTTTGTCTTTCTGAGCTCCAAGAATTAAGTATGACTAGGGCCTAGGCCTAGACATGTTTTGTTTATATTTCTATGTCCAAAATCTATGTTTTTCAAAGCTGTCTTAATGTATGGATTGATTATACATGCTGTATACTGCAATAATATAGTTAATATTCTTTAGAAATGCATCATCTTTGTATTATATTTTCAATGCCCTCTGTAATTTAGATGACTCTGTATGGTAGTCATGGATCATTTTGTGCTATTTCATTCTAGGAAGTAGCCATGGAGTTCTATTAATTAAAGTTAAATGCATTATTACACAGATATACATGCTATTTGACAGGAAGAACTACTGTGTGTACTTTTATACTACTGGATGTGGTATGCACTTGCAATATGCCGGATGCTCAGTGAGAGCACAACCCTGGATGTAATGTGAAGTTTACATCCCTGGGTATACTGTACTAGTAGGCCTACAATTTATAATGTAGTTTTTACTTGCAAATAAATCAGATTTAATATAGTAAAGTTGCAATTCTGGCTACACATAATATCAACCCTGGATGTGCAGTTATAATCCTACTCCATGGGTGCACTATTGACGATAACCTAACCCTGGATGCACTATAGAGTTGCAACCCTTGATGCGGGGTTCAAGTCCAACCCTGGATCACATACTTCTAAATCTAGCAATGCTGTTGCAACCTTGAATGCACTGTGCAAAATCATTACATGTTATTATGTAATTATTATAAACGTTGACCTTGAATTATGATAAAAGATGGATTATTTTCAAACCTGCTGAATTGCTTTTTAAAAGCTCTGGATTGTATTTTTAACCATACTTTACATATAACTGGGTTCCATTATGAGCAAATTTTAAAACAGCTTTTAGCATTGACCCTTGTTTGTAACTCAGATAAGGGCTTGAATGGGTCATACATTGCAGCTTTCGGATACACTGTTTTAAAGAAATGAAACCGGCTTTTTGGTATTTTAAATTCTACCACGTACAGTATTAATTATTCTTGTGTTGTATTTGGTGGGAATTGTTTTAGTATTAGCAAAATTAAATTAATTGATTATCAGACATGTAGGCTGAGATTCCAACAATTCCTAAGGATGTAGTTTTAAATATTAAGGTTTGTAAATTTTAAAAATAATTTTCATATATTTCAGGTTGATTTATTTAGTGATATTTGGCAGAATAGCTCTTTAATATCTCTTTATTCATTAATTGCACAAATCTGAAATTGGTCAAGATGCCAATCGGACGTTTTGCCTGCTAGCATTCCGTAAATTAGAAATTCAGACAAAGGTATGTTTTGCCAGAGCTGGTCATGTATTTGCCAGAATTGCAATTTTAAACTCAAATATAAAGTACTTATATTTTAAATGAAAAAAAACCAAACCAAAAATTGAAAGATATCAAATTCTGACATGTTTTTCTACATAAATTAACATGAAACTTGATTTTACCCACATTATAATGCTTAGGTTATAACATAGTTCAAGCTAATTTAAGATTTATTATTATATTATTTAATTGAAGTTGAAATTAGGCCATTTGATATTGGCAATCGTATGTCACTCTACTAAAGCTCTCAATCTGTTAAGTGTCCTTGTTTTTAAAAATTATTTTCGAAAATTTTATTCAGAGTTGAAACTGCAAAATGAACTAGCAATGAAATAAATAAAAATAATTACCATTAAAAAAAAATCAAAGTTTTGCCAGTTATTTTTTACTTGTACTGTTGAAAATGTAACTGCCATTATTAATAATTCATAAATCTTTTGGCTCATTATAGCAAATGCCCCAATTTTGGAAAAGACTGTAAGCAAAGTGCGGCCCGCAGCCGGACAGCGATTTTTTTTGCGGCCCGCAAAAACGAATAAAAAACCTAGGTGTGCGGCCTACCAAGCAACATAGGCTAGAAAACACCTTGTTTTTTAACGGCCCGACACCGATCATATTTAGAAAAGTAACATTAAAACTGAGAATAAATGGTGTAAAAGCAGTTCTTGGAGGTTTTTAGAAGCTCACTAGAAGCATCAAAGTTTGGGTGTGGCCCTCGGTGTTAAATCAAAAATTCACTTTGGCCCTCCGACCAATTCTAATGCCCACCTCTGCTGTAAGCTATTTATTATATAAAACTTGCAGCGTCATTGTGCTGAATTGCGTATACCTTGGACCACCCGTTTTTAGTTCCTTATCCGAGCCAGTGCCGTTAAGGCTGTAGTCTGCCTTACTGCGGTTCGAAGACTCAATTGTTTGTGATCCATTACCGTTGCATTAAAGGCATCTGATGCAAGCACTGTTGCACTCAATCAAAATTGGGGCTTTAGCAAAAAAAAAAATCATTTATTATGTGAGAAAGAGGTGCATATTAGATGTATGGTATCATTTTACCCCTTATGATTTGAAAAACAAATGCAGTGTGTGTTGACAATAAAGCCAACATTGCCACTATACAGTTATCTTGATTAGAGATGTCACTTTCGTTTAATACATTATTGATTAAGTGTTTTCCAATTGAAATCTTCAAAGCTTTCTATTGATTTCTGGGAATTCTCTGCCGATATGTCACTTTGTTCTTTATTCAGTGTTTCCTATTGACATTTAATAGTAATTTAAAGATCATGATTTAAAAAAAAAACAATGGAAACATTTAAATGTTTGAATTAAATAGATGAAAAGTATTTTAATTTTCTTAATTCCCAAATAAATCCTTCTGTGTTAATAACTTTGGTTTGAACATGCCATAAAATACCTATTTCATAATTTTAAAAATATCTTTATGTTATTTTTGGGATTGTTGTAGAGGGGATAACACTCGTTTTTCTATTAATGGTCATGTATTCATTCGGAAATAACTTAAAATGAATACTTCAGGTAATTTTTGGCTTCTGTATAGTAGCCTATTATTTTGTTGCAGAAAGTAGTAAATTGCAAGTCATATTGCAGGACAAACATTTGCTCCCATAGCAAAGCTTAGGCCTACCTAGCCCTGTGTACTATGTACCATAAGCCTAGGCCTATCCTTACCACTGAGATGCTATGAAAATTTGAACTCTCTGAATTACAAATTTTCTCGATTACAAAATCTGTTCGGACATTAGGTTACGTACAATTGGGAAATGTTACTGTACCTGAATTTTTATTTCAAGTTAATCACTGAAAACACATTAAAAACAATTTTGCTGTATTTCATACGGTATTTAGTCATTAGTGAACAAAATACTGTATTATCAAAACAAAGAAATGTTTGTTTCAATGAGCAATTGTCTCCATGTTCTGTTCAAACAATCTTGTAAACTGTATGTGATCTGCCCTGCAAAGTATACAGTGAAATACTGTACAGTATTTAAGGTTTGACTTTGAGACTAGGCTCTGTGTTGCTTTAGTATGTATGGTGCCATTACGATTAGAAAAATGAGTAGAGATTAATGTAAGCCTAGTGGTAAGATGCTTTGCCATTTACAGTAATTTAAGGATTCTGGGTTCTAATCATAAGACACCAGGATATTTATTAAGTCAATAGAGGAATCAAGGATGAAAATTAGCTTTATGGTGTTTAAAATGCTTGCCGCCTTCTAATTTAGGGGTCCCGGTTTCAAATCCTATCATAGTATTTTTTAATGACTGAAAAACTCCATTCTGGTTGTGCTTGCTTTTTTTTTATGATTATACTATAATATTAATTGCCTGTGTAATTGGATGTGTAAGGAATAACCAAAAAAATGAATAATTTAGAGTTAATATTTGACATCGCTTGTGATTGACAAGTTCACTTGTGGTTGGATGCGAAGTAAAGTAAATTGCTGTATACCAGGAGGTACAGTTATTGAAGTAAGCGATGGTTACCGCTATTAATATTCGCTGTAATTCAAATCAATTGTAAATATTTTGGTCAACGATTTAGATTTTACTTCCTTAGTGTTCAAAGACATAAAGTATTAAATCCATCGTCATAAAAAAATGTTGTCCTCTGGATTGGCATCATGCCATGTTTGTATTTACCTCATACAGTGAAGTCAATATGTGCTAGGCCTTGAGAGAAAAAAATGTAAGGGAACCACTTGCTGTGGATATGCAGTCTTGCATACCAGTATGCTAAATAATGACTCGGCTGCTTTGAATGTGTAGACAACATGGAAAAACATGTAATATGACATAACTATAGATCTGATTATGTTTTCTTAATTTCGGGTTTGGATTTCCAAGTCTTAATTGAAGTTAACCTAGAAGCAATAGTTCAGCAATTACGCATTCGGTAATGTATTTCTCCCCGAAGCACAATGATTTTGTACAGTCTTTTTCTTGTCTTATAAACATTTTTTACGACGTCATTGGTGTTCCCTGATTGTTTATGGGAAAGGGAAACAAACTTTTACAGAACATAAACAGACGGAAATATGCAGATTTATTGTAAGCAGATAGGGAAGCTAACTAGTGTTTTTTTTTTTTTGTTTTTTTTTTTTTTTTTTTTTTTGCTTTGCTTTCATGCTGATGTTTGTGATTGTAAATCTACTTCCAGCTCTTTTCTCAGGTAGTTTTATATAAGGCAATATTTTACATTGTCGCAAAGGGGAGACACTGTTATCATGGACACTGCTGATGTGCCATTATTGCCAAGGTGCCACCAGTATAGGGTAGGGGAAGCCATACAGTAGCATCTGTCGGGGAGAGGTGATCATTGTCGGATAAACATGGAGACAAATATGTAATTATATTTTTACACCTTCCAACTCCTAAAAGTTGTTATAGCTTGTGGGGGCCTCCTCCCCAGGGAATCTTTTTGAGGGGCTCTAAGCCACTCCTGATCATCCCCACTTTAGGCTTTCTACGTTGTCATTGGCTCTCTCAGGAGCATCAAGCGCACGCTAACCTTAAACGGAATCAGATGCAGTGATGCACAATCACAAATGCAAATTTAGCAGTGGAGACTTGTTAAATGTTCTATGTTGTAATTTTTCTTGTGTGAATTGGGTAAGAGTGTTTTTATTTGGCCTAATTTTGTGCTTTTTATTTTGTAATAAATTTTTGTTTTACTTTTTCAGTATTTCTAGAGCCCTGTAGTTTAAAAATTGCCTCAGTTGGTTGTGAACGGTTGTCAAAACAGATGCTTCGTACTATTCACTCACAATCTGTGAAGAGACTCGGTACATTCAAAAGTATTCGAAAGAAGTGCGGACTTGTCTGAGCAGACGGTATGGGCAACACAGGTGGGAAACGAGAAGGTAAAGATGGCTTGCCGATGTCGCCAAGCAAGGAGACGCCAACATTTGACTTTGATCCGCGGAGTCGGAGAAACAAACTATTCCAGCAGTTATCATTGGAAGATGGTGAATACCAATCATCCTCCTTCAAGGTAAATTGTGATACCGTTGATTTTGAGTCAAATTTCTTCGGTCCAAAAAATATCACAAGATATACTTGGTTTGAGGTGAATACTTAGTGAATTCTACTAGCTTAATGTGTTGGATGATTGGAACTACCTTCCGGTACGCATTGCAGAAATAATAACATGTTGTGTTGAATTATACCTCATAAGTATTAAGCAGCAACCTGTCTGTCTATTATACAGTTTTGTATAGGGTTCACATAGCCAGAGTTGCTGTAGTTCATTTGGGTAGTTCTGCTGCCATGTGTCTGTGTAAATATGCATGCACAGTGAAGTACTGTAATCAAAACTACCGCAATGAGTACTGAGTGGAATTGACCAATAGAATGTTGTTATTGCCTAATTAATATTAATGAGGTATAGTATTAATAGCAATACCGTTGATTCTGAGTCAAATTTCTTTGGTCCAACAGAATTGCAAGGTGCTGTATGTACTTTAATAGCAAATCCATCACTGAATTTTTTAGTATTATTTAATTTTTTTTTAATAATCTTCAGTACATTAAATATTAATAGTAATTTTTAAATTTATGATTTAGTATTTTTTATAATGTATACGTTGAGCTGAAGGTTGCTATGCTAGTTAGCTGTTTGTCTTCTAATTAGTCCAAAATAACTTGAGCTGGTCCATTGCTATACAAGGCTTATATTTGCAGTCCAAATTATATACGACTCAGAAGATTTTGCAAAATCCAGATGCAGTTTGTTACAATAGGTTACAATAGCGTTAGATAAATCGATTGATTTATGGCGATTAAGAAATGAGCATAGTGGTTGAATGCGCTGAATAATCTCCGAGCACAGTCTATCAATAGATCCTTCGCAAATCTTATACCTATAATTTCTCGTAGTATCACTTGCCTTCGGTGTCTGACCAGAAGGAAAAACACAATTTTCAGGGATGCACTTAGAACTTTAGTTTGACAAAAATATGAATATAATAGTATCATTTAAAAAAATTGAAAGATTTTAAATTGTTTTAATACGCAGAAGTGGGGTCAAAGTTAAAGTCATTTTTGAATTTTTTACTTGATTCTTGACATGTTTTTCTTCCTATTTATTAATATTCTCCATATTTACTTGTGCTTGGTAGAAATTCTGCTTCCGTGGTTTTTTGGCTTACTGCCAGAACTCTGGCTAAGGAAGTAGATGAAGATATTCCCATGTTTTGATTACATTCTTAACGGAATTTTAACTTTCAATAAGCATCCTTTAGGGTCCTTATTCTTCCTCAGGGATGTGAATCATTATACCTTAGCTCCACATATTATTTTAGTTTATTTATATAGGTTTTAAAGGTTAATAAGTATTATATAGTTGGAACAAATTTAATGGATATTCATATTTTGATCATGTTTTTTTTTTTTGTAAAATTTGTGAATATATTTAAAAAATATAAAAAAAGATTTTCAAGAGAATACAAAATATAATACTCATTTTTGATCCCTCCCTTCTAAAGGTCTGTCCAGACTAACAGATTTTCTTCGACAAAAAACTGTTGTATGCCCATATATGGGTCATGATGTGCCTATATATGGTCATGATGTTATGTCATCATGACATGTAAGCTGACTTTCACATACAGTATATAAAGTGAACGTTTTATAATTAATTTATATTTTATTTTATTTATTTATTTTTTTTTTTTTATTCAGTTGTCTATTTATTTATTCTTTATTTTATTTATTTATTTATTTTTATTAATTAGGCCTAAGTGTAAGTATTCACATATAAATTGAATTTTTGTTGGCAATTCATTAATATATTTTAAAGTTTTTAATTAATTCAACATCTAAGTCTTTAAGTTTCTTTATAGCTTAATTGTTTCGTGTAGTTTTACTGCTTATCTTCTATAAACTGTAATAATCTGTATAGGGGAGTTGTTTATATAGGCTCATGCATGCTCAGCAACCCTTGCTTGCTTTTTTGTTTGTTCCATTTCTTGATTCAATTGTGTATGTAATTGTAATCTATGTTGCAAGTGAATTAAATTAGATTTGATTTGATTTGACCATATTTAGTCATGCCACATATACACTATTTGTCAATTAAAATTTGATGGTCTGGAAAGGGCTTTAGAGTTCATAATCAAATTATCATTTTTTATTTTCATTAAAGATTATTTACTGATCATATCCTTCTATGATAACATATGATTTTTATTTTTTTATTTATTTATTTATTTATTTATTTATGTTTTTTTCTTCACATCCAACAGCAATTACACTCGTCACTTACAGGATGAGAATGATGCTTTATAAACCAAATCTCTTTTTGAGGCTTGGGGAGTGAAGTTGTTTTTGGTTGTGAGAAAAATTCCTGCTTGGGATCAGAAGGCAAGCATCTTAACCATTGAGCTATTCAACTCCACTCAATGCTCATAAAAATTAATAATAATAATAATTAAATCTTCCTTTTACAAAGTTCTTCCACGAGGCCATAGAAAATGTCATAAAAAATATGGATAATGCCTTAATATTCATTATTGTTTTTAAATTGATGTATTTTTAGGACTTCAGTTCTAAGCCAGGTTATTCAAGACCAAGAGCAAGTACGATAGTGGAACAGCCTGTTGTTAATCTAAAAGCACTGCCGACAGTGTTTCATTGGAATGGTGGAGGAAAGAATGTGTTCCTATCAGGAAGCTTCAACCAATGGAAATCTAAGATACCAATGTCCAAAAGGTAAGTGTCCATTTGGTACATGAGGTCTACACTGTAATACAGAACACCATAGGCTGAAACTATCCTATGCCCCTAGACACCCCATCTATCTTTTAACACTACAGTATGTGTTGTGGTCTATAGGTGTCCCCTTTCTAAAGGGGTATACTATAATTTCAGTTCTCACAAATTTCAACAATCCTTTGAAATTTGATTACTTCAGATTTAACCTAGTTTCATCTGAAGTAGGCCTATGCATCAGAATTATATTTTTAAGGTTTGATCAAAATAGAAGTTTATATACAAAATGAAAACAGACAGATGTAGAAAATTATACAGATTTTTTTTTTTTTGCTGAAAATTGATACATTTTTTGAGAGAGGCATTTCCTTACCCTTTCCTGTAATTTGTGTTCCAGTTGTAGACTCAGAAAGCTGTGACCATGCCCCTATTAATACCATGCCTATTTTTGTATCTTTACTTTTTGACCTGTTACTCAACCTCTGGATTATAAGCATGCATATGGAAATTATCATTAGCGATTCTAATATGTAGCAGATTGGACTTTTGGTTGGTGCATTTCATTAATACTCATCTCATTGTTGCTTATATCTTTTTAATACTTGTGAAATTAGCTATCATTGACAACCTGTCAAGCTTGTCTTTGATTATTTAATAATTTAAATCAATATTAATACTAATTACTATAAATGAATAGGTTATTAGAATAGTTACACATTAATATGAATAGTAAATGAATTAAGTGTTCAATGGTTGTTATCTCTTAAGTCGGGCACACACTGCGCCCAACGATCATCAGCCAACGCGATTCTATGGAGGACGCAACGCCACGACGCTCTCGCAATGGATTGTTTTTAACAACGATCCATGCAGACTGCCACAGGCAATCTGCGTTGTATCGTCTAACGCTCATAGGGAGCAGAGTTAGGTTCATTGGCCGTCAGTCGTACGACCTTTGTTCAACCCAGGAGTGCGAGACTTAACTTTGTATTTCACTTGCGTCCTTACTTCAACTGCATTGCCTCACTACTTCACTCAGGAGTACAAGTAGGTACCTAGTTGTTTTGAATGTTAATAATATATAACTAGCATTATGAAATAATCCATACAGAGGTGAGTATATGAGTGAGTATAGGTGTCTAGGGGATATGAAGCGCAGAGACCTTGTCAGGTTCCGCTATATAAGGCTGACAAATTATTATTAAGGATGAATACTCTGTTTAAGCAAGAAAAATTTACACTAACATTCAATAGCGAACGAACTCATCAATAATGATAGAATTGTACCTATTATGTACATCTGTGCTTAACTAAGCTTGATCTACTGTGGCTTGATTATGAGGCAGATGAAAGGTGGTTGTGTTTTAGTAACATTATTTTTGCCATTTGTAGACAAGCCCTCTGATTAAACAAAACAGTTAAATACAGTAAGATGTCCACTTTACCTACCCCTTGGTACCAAGGGGTTTTCGTAAATCCAAAAATTCGTAAACTAGATCATGTATCAGTTTCCAATACCTAGGCCTAGCTATCCCCTGCCATTGAGCGCCGAAAGGCTGATGGTGGACAGGCCTAGAACCGAACCAACAATGCAGCAGCGTGGTCTACCACACTAGAGCCTAGCTGAATTTAGCTTCGATAAAAACCAAATTATTTCAATCCCTGGCATTCTTCCACCTAATAAAAATGTTATTTTAACTCTTATTCAAACATCTGTATGTTTTATGGACCTTTTTATTGTGTTCTTTCTAATTGTTAAATCGCCAAATTGTGTTGTTTAACATGCATTTCGTGATCATATCTAGCATTCACGATGTCAATAAGTTGCTGACCCCAACACTCTTGTTCGTGTCATTGGAAACGTGCGCTCAATCCAACGACACTTGCGTTGGTAGTTTGTTGTTCTGGTTAGGTTTATTACATTAATATAGTGATTATTATACAAGAAATGAAAAGATCGAACAATTAATAAATAAATACAACAAACTTGATTATATTAAGAAAAATATCATTTTTTTACGGTAATAATTAGTCGATGATTCCATTTGTCAATAAGCTCTCTGATTATATGAAACAAATAAAAAATGTTCAGTGATCCCAATAACTTTGAGTGCTAGGTGGCCTTAGCTGGTGTCACCAGTGGTTTTGGTAAGCCTGGAGTCAACAGACTTTGTAAGACCACAGTAACTTGGAGGAACCTAAGGTGCCCAACCCAAACTACCAGGGTTCTTGAGTCAATTCATAAAAATTAAAGATTTTTTACATAACTGAACTGCCTGCATCAGAATATGAGTTTCTTAAAATTTTCTGTCCTTTATTGATGAACTATTTTGTTTGTGCGATTTCTTGGCTTGCGCTTTTTCTTTACCTATAATAGGAGCATGCTCCGGAGGGAAGCACATTTTGATATGTTCTACAACTGATTTTTCTAAGATACAAAAATGGTGTTGGACGAAAAACTCAGGAAGAGTTTGAGATACAGATTTTTCAATATTTAAAATTTGGGGGTGAAGAGGGAAAAGATGGGGGTAAAGTCCCTTTTCCCCAGTTTTTAGATATTCGAAAATCTGTATCTCATTTACTGTTTCCAAGTTGTTCATCAAACAAACTATTTGTGTCTTATAGAATAATCAGTTCTACTGTACAACATATCAAAATGTGTTTCATTTTTTTCATCGGAGCCTGGCTTTAAAGCTATATGAGTTGGTTTCCTACAATGGGGATCAATTATCAAATGCATACAGGCTTCAGAGCTATTTTTCCTGCTTGTAAGGAAAGATGGTTGATCTTTTGTGATCCAGGTATGAAGGACATCCCCAGGGTTGCAGGTAATTCATGAGTTTCAATTGACCAATAAGATGAGACTTTACATAATAGTTTGGTATATCCTGTGGTGGTTGAACTTGAAGATATCCTTGTGAACCTCCTCCATCTGGCCATTATCAATTACTGTATTGTAAACATTTGCTGTTGTTGTTATTCAATACAACTGGAGTTGCTTTAATTGCCTGATCCCTTGGTAAAGATATATAACATATGTGCTGAAATTTGAAAAAAAAAAAACCTGAAAAAAATCTTTGAAAAAAAAATAACGTTTGTTTGTATATTTATTAGCAAGTTAATTTTGAATTGAAATTTAGAATTAGAAAAATAAATTACATACCTATTTAGAGTAACAAATGCATAAAATATACCATTCTTATTCTTTGCATGACCCTTCAATTATTTGTTGGTAATCGTAAGTATTTTTGCAATAAAAAGGGTTCGTAATATAGCAAAGGGACTTTTTTTTTTGTAAATTATATTATAGGAAGTATAGGAAGGCGAGACCTTTTTTATACCTTGTTTGGCGAATTTGATTTTTGGCCAATTAGCGCACCCCTCGCTACGAAAACATTTTTTTTTTTGCTTTTTGGTAAAAAAAACCAACTTTGAATGGCTTTTTATGCTATTTTAATACATTTCTGTTCATAATTCTTTAAGTATTTTGCTGACAATATCACTATCATAAAATAGCAAATATAGGACATCAAAAATATTGCTATTATTGCTATATTGTTTGAAATGGGTGCTATACTGCTATTATAAGCTATTACATGCTGTAGCTATTGACCAGCTACTAACATGCTTTTAAATGCTATTTAATGCTAGGACCAATCCTGCACTTTAGTGCATATGTTAAGATAAGTGGTCATCTTTAAAAGCATTGATTATCCTTTAATTTCGATTTTAAATATAATTATAGTTTTTTTTCTCTATTTACCTTATTTCAAAGCTAGTCTTCGCTTTTCACATGATATTGTTATGTCATTATGTCGTGGCGAACTGGACACCATACCTTAATGTACAGTATACCAAAACATGCTTATTTTCACATTAAAATCCATTAATTAGCTTAATGTCTTCCAACTGTTACTTGAGTATAAGTATAACATAAACTCACATATTTATAGTTTAACTTCCTTCTTTCTATTACTTTTCTAATAATAATCAATTAATTAATTAGCATACTGCCTTCCATACCTCCATGCATTTAATTATACCATTCATATTAAGCATGCTGCCTTCCATACTTCTCTAATATATTAATACCTACGACCATACTTTGTATACAGTATTCTATACTCGTTCATAGATTCAATACATATCACATGATCAACATTCTTGGTTATTCTATATTTATTTTGTATTGTTCAGGTACACAATCCTACTGTTGGCTTCAACAAGACTTTAGTCGGATGATAGTTGTAATAGTATTGTATTGATATACTTCCTATTCCTATTTACTCCTTTGTATGTGGCCCATAATGTTACGCATCTACAGTTACTCTAATTATGTATCTTCATTTAATACTATAGTTTAATGTGTTCTAAATATTGGTTGATTAATAATATTATTCAACAAAAACATATTGTGAATAATAATAAAAGAAGAAATATCTTTGAAAGTAAAACACATCTAATGTCAATTGAAAAATGATGTGAACACATCAATTTTAGACAATATTTTTTAAATGACATGTTTCCTATTAGCTATTTTAAAGGAAGATGAGAGAGGCAAGTATTATTTCCTTTTATACTTCACAAACATAGGCACTATATACACACACAGTCCTATATTAGTATGTTATCGGAATTACACATGGGTAATTGAATTTTGCACCAAAAAAAAAGCCTTGTATATTTACAGAAATTATGCTAATTTGGTGTTAAATAGCTAGATTCTTCATATGTTCTATGTATTAGTAAGCGCTACAGTCTGGAGGTATTGTCTTGGGGACAAAATTGACTGCAGGGGAATATACTGGATTCGTCCTGTGTGTGGGGAGGGGGTTCGAAAATTAATTGCGGAAACTTAATAATTAGTATAGTATTTTAATTTGCTGCCATGGGGATGGAGAGGGTGCATCCACATCTTCCCCCACTGCCAGCTTATGGCCATGGGCTCATGAGGAAGGCAGCAAGTAGTTGGGTATTAGTTTCTCACGGACAGCAAATAGCTATATAAGGAGTTATGTGGCTAAGCAACCCTCTCTTCATGTATGACATTTAGTCGGCCAACAATTTCCAACTTGTGGGATAAATCTTCCTTGTAACCTTGTATACATACATGATTTTCTGGGTTTATACCTGGTGAAAGTAAACTAAAAAATAAGAGATAACAGTCCCAAAATTATACAGGAAGGAGGATATCTTAGAACATGGGGTTTTTTCACCTTATACTAAAAAAATATGATTTGTCATTCAAAGAATACAGTAGAACATGAATTCATGAGTTATTATCAAGCAGGGACATAATGTTGTACAGCATTCTAGTACACTGTGTACTGTAATGTAAACATTAAAGATAATATTCATCTGTTGGTTGACCTTATGACACACACGGTTTTCAAGCCGACGAAAGAATGTGCTCTCTATATTTATCATCAAAATTTCTCTTCATTGGCAGTCTTGATTTCAAAATCCACACCTAAGCAAACTTAATAATCTAATTATACCATCTTAAAATATTTGAACTTTCCTTTCTTTGTCAATGAGATAGATGATCTACCAAATGAAACAAAAAAACTTTGGAGATATGTCAGTGTTATTCTAAAAAAATATGTTTAATTTACGTTCTTACATTGACATTTTTTGTGAGATATTGTTTTTGTATTACCGCACCACATTGAAAAGTAGCCCATATACTGAAACTGTCTGCATTATAAATAAATAAATATGATAGTATGTGCCATGTAACAGGTAAACATCTTATGTGCTACAAAAATATCCATAACTATTTAACGCTTTTTCGCAGTTGAAAATCCAGATCTCTATAAGTTGTTTTTTTAAAAATATTTTAAAGCTTTTTTGTGTTACCCTTGGAATTAATGTCTGTTGTTCTTCATTATTATCTGTTCTTTGTTTTTGTTTTGAATGTAAGAAATGTTCTGATTTAAAATCCAGAATAAACATGAAATGAAATTTGAGCAGCGTTGGTTGTAATTTATATATTGAAAAATCCAAATTAGGAAAGGACCCTCTCTATTGGTGCTGCCATCGTTGTGGACTTGAAGATTCCTTGTGTCCATGTTATGTCCATGTACGGTAGTATGAAGAGTAAAGTATGATTGCAACAATATACTATATGTATTATAATTCTAATATTTAATTTGTGGCAAATGATGCGTAAGAATCTCCCGCCGGAAGCGCCCAGCTTTGACGTCTGCAGAATGAGAATAATCACTGTAAATGGATTAGTCTATAGGGAGCCCTATTGACTACAACTTGGACTTTAGCAATATACTTAAAAGATAATCCATAGATTATAGAATTTAAGCACCGGTACATTTTAAGTTGTTTTTCTTGATATCTACAGGTACTAGTACAGACTTGATATTCTTTTGAAAGGTTAAGATAGTTGACATTTATGTTATTGTTTGTAAATATTTTATCTTGTTCAGCACTGGAGATTTTGTTGCGATTGTGGAGCTTCCAGAGGGCAAGCATGAATACAAGTTCCATGTGGATGGTCAATGGGTACATGATCCAAATCAGGTAAGGCTTCTTTACATTTATTCTGTTTTAAAAAAAAGAAATGTATATTTTGTCTTATCCAACGCCAAGTTTCCTGCGACTTGTAATACGGGCAGACATTAGCTCTCTGATGCGAAGGTAGCATTATGAGGCTTAAAGAAAGGAACCGCCAGTGGCGTAGCAGTTGGAGTTTGGATTTTATTTCTTTATAAAAATTGTTTTATCTAGCGGCAGGGAGGATAAGCCATAACTCGCAGGCGTGATTGTGCTGAATTGTGTATGAGCGTGGTCTGTGACTACTAGCTGCCATAAAGAGGAGCTTATAGTAGCTTCAGGTCACATCATTCTACAATGACAGGCTGAAATGAGCCATAATATCACTGTAACTCCTGTATCTCCTGAAAGATGCCATGAGTTCTTTAAAGTGCGCACAAGCCAGATGTGTACACAGGACCTTCACCGTAACCTGAGCATAGAGCGGCTCAAATCTGAGCAATGTCAATTCTGTCATTAGCGGTGGCCCTGCCTTATCACTCGGCCACTCACCTCGCGCAAATCTAGTCCTTCAGTGAGTTCCTTATTACTTAATTGTATGAAATTTAGTCATGAGGCATGGAGGATGGAACCACCTATGGTTCAGCAGTTGATTGGTGTATCAACCTTCTGGTTAGTGGGTATAACCACTCACTGTACATTTCACCTGTGCCCTTGGGCAAGTCATTTCACCTGTGTTTATCCCTCCACCCAGGAGTATGTCAGAGTTCATGGTATGATGTTGTGTCATTGATTGTGTTTGTCTGTATACATATAACTATCTCCAAAGGGAGTGCCTCCTATATATGGATCATTGACAGGGGTAATATTAACATCCCCAGCAGCTTGTATACCTTGGCAAATGGTACGGAAAAATTCATATATCCTCATATATTAGTTCTTTTTTGATGGCGTTGGTTTAATTGACATCAACAATTATTTAAGTTAAAGTAAAGAATAAAATTAATATATTTATATTTAACAACATAGGAATGTTGTTTTGCCCTACCTAACATGTTATTGTACTAAATAGTCAGTACATTCCCAAATACTTACAAATTTTGCAAATGATTATGGTGGGAATCAAACCCACGTCCTCCAATTAACTAGTCATAACCACTAATCCGCCGAGCTTGTGCTTACTGACTAGTGTTGAATCTGATCCCTAAGTACCCGCCCCTATTTATCTTTTTTTTTTAAAAGGGCAAACAAACAATTTATTTTAATTGGCCTTATATTAAACAAATTATTAGTTTCTATTTAAACTGAAAGTCAATTTCAACAGTTAAAATATTATAAAACCAGACTGGATTTCTCAAAGTGGTTATTAAAGTGAACACATGTTTATTTACTGAACCATTCAACAGCAGAAGCAAATCCGCTACTTAGACAGTGTTAAGAATATACACAAACAACATAATTGATGATCAGAACATTTCTCTTTTTCAAGCACTATGATTATTAACTTACATTGATTCGTCCATCAATTTTGGTTACTTGGGTCCCCGATGCACTGTATCACCAAGTCCTTTTATGAGACTGCAGTTAGTAGAGGTTTTTTTAAAATGCAAATAAAAATAATGCTGACAAGTTCACCAGAATAGAACCCAGGACCTTATGAATGGAAGGCGAGCACCAAACCACAGCACCACATGGCCACATCTTGAGATGGGAGACTTAAATTAAGCTTAAGTACATATTTTTAAAAGTCATGATTCGCATAATTTATGACACTGAATCCTAGAATAATATTACATTATGCTTATGTTTTTGACTTTTCACCTTGAAAATTGCTTTGGCACTGGGAATGTATCTATTATTATTACTTTAGAACATTAATGTGATTTATTCAGGCCCCTGTAGATATGGTATTTTAGCCTTAGTATCATTTTTGGGCAAGCTGCCAGCTCCAATGCGCATGACATGCTACATCATCTGCAGGCCTGGCAGTTGTACCAGAAATTTCAGTCTGCGGCATCCTACCACCTATTGACTTGACAGACAATATGAGAACATTTTGGCATTGTACCAGCAATAGAATAACTTGTCTGCAACATTTGCATCCATCCGAGATTATATTATCCTAACCTAGACTAAGAATTTAGAAATGCTGGCTTCATACCAAAAAATGGTCTGTTGATCTGTTTGCAACCCTTCTCTAGTAATACTTTTATAACTGGAATACCATTCCCAGATGGAAATGGAAAAAAGCAGGCCTAGAATCCAGGAGGAAAGGGACCATAGTTTCATGGTTTTTAAGTATGATGAATATTAGGAAGTATTAAGTAAATAAAACATTTTCTTTGTTGTCCTCTTTCAAATTGAAATTTGAAATGTAGGCTGGGCCCCTGGAGACCACAGTTAGACATTGCATCACCAACCCAAATGTAAAAGATAAACAAATATAACATTGTTCTTTAAACCAACGCTACTCCCAAGTGAGGGTTATTCAGGGAGCCGAGTGATCAGACCCAAATTTAATTTTCGACGCTCTGCCTTCTGATGAATCGAGGCCTGCAGCGCAAGAGGTAGGAACATTGCAACATTTAGCACAGTTGTATTTTTAATGTGATTTTGCTAGCTTTGTGCCTTTTTGAACACACCATAACGGTTGTGAGTGTCACTGATCTTAAGTGTGGTTTTCAATCAAATAAAGTAATATATTTTGGTTGTAGATTCTTTTTAATGGAATTGTCAATTTTTATAAAAATTGAGACTTTATATTAGGTTATCCTTCTAAGTTTAAACTCCAGCTCATAAATTCCACTGAGATAAATTTATTTTTAATTGTTAAAAAAATTTGAAAAAAAACATCAACTTTACTATGGTATTAGCCCCGATGAGGAGCTCTAGAAGCACTTGGCTGATTGATTAATAGATCATTTTTACTCTACTGCCTCTATTATACTGCCCTCATGAGACTGATTGATTAATAGATCTTTTTTACTCTACTGCCTCTATTATACTGCCCTCATGAGGCTGATTGATTAATAGATCTTTTTTACTCTACTTCCTCTATTATACTGCCCTCCTCGGAGCTTTCGAGATTACAAAAACTTGCTTTTTACTCATATTAGCTCTTTATTTTTCCGTCATGAAATCCAATTGTGTTTAAAGTTGTAACATACAGACACTGCAGGTACCTGAGATGATGGTACATTGAATGACAAGCTTTGCTATGCATCATGCCCACAGATCCATGTGTAGAAGCATTTGTGTTATATAGGTGAAACTTATAATTCATTATTATTACTAGCAATACCATTTGACATTGTAGAGTAGTACCAGCAGGTAGTTTAAAGTATAATTCCTTTTGGAATAGGCAATGTATATAGACAGAGGTATCTGCAACTTAACAACAAAATTATTTGTACGCATTGGAATTTGAAATATCATAAATGGGAAGAAAAATTTGGAGACTGAAGTGATTTAATAAGCTATCACTCAGTCCTGGTACCAGCAAATATTGTCTGAAACCTATGTAACCAAGTTTTGGTATAATTGTAATTAGATTGTAAGATATCTTACAATAAGATGTGTTTACTATTGGAATTATAGTCAGCATGTTGTATGCTGTTTACTATGGTATTCCTTCGTTCATGCATTCATTTATTCAGTCAAAAAATTACAGTAATAAAAACATGCAAGGATTATAAATGACAGAAAAAGTATTGGAAAACATATTAAAAAACACATTGGCCAGGATAGCCCAAGACAACCAAAAGCAGTTTTATTTCCATTGGGGTCCTTATTTCCATATGCTAGTTGTCCACTGTAGTAACTTTACTTTTATACATTTTAATGCATTAAGTGTGGAAATAATTGTTTGGCTATTCAGTGAAGCATTTCCTTCAACATTTAGATATCATAATAAAAAATAATGGAAGGACAGATAATAGTTTTCAGTAGTCAATTATAAACTAGTAGACTGAAAAATAAATATTGTGGTTATACCCACTAACCAGAAGGTTGATACACCAAACAACTGCTGAACCATAGGTGGTTCCATCCCCCATGCCTCATGATTAAATTTCATACTATTAAGTAAAGGAACTCACTGAAGGACTAGATTTGCGCGAGGTGAGTGGCCAAGTGATAAGGCAGGGCCACCGCTAATGACAGAATTGACATTGCTCAGATTTGAAATTTGCAAAATGGGGCATAATGTAGCATTTTTAAAGGCACATTCAGTTGTAAAGGAAAAAAAATCTGATTTTGCAGTCAGTATTCAGTCACAAATTTACTTTGGCCATCTTTCATTTTTTATGCCAACATCTGCGCAAGCATACAAGAATACAATTACCATTAATTACTGATCTCCATATATACAGTAGTACTACCATATATTGATTTGTTTTCCCTTTATTAGTGATAATAAATAGAATTTCACAATGGCTGTGGTACCAGCAAGTGTTTTCTTAAAATTTAATAGTTTTGAAACAAACTGAATAATTTCGTGCGAGTTAGTAAATATGTTAATGTTTGCAGTTGCTGGCGATGTAGATGCCAGTCCATTAGTAGTCAGTGTGTTCTTGAATCCACCATCTAAACCGTAAGTAATGTAAAAAGGTGTATGTTTACTTGAATATGCATTGTATGTTGACAACTTCACACTAGTGTTGCAATAGTAAGCGATCAGGTGTAGGAAAGCGATCAGGTGTGGGAAAGCAATCAGTTATAGGAAAATATGAGGTTTGGGAAGATTAGGTGTATGGAGGAGTAATGAGGTGGAGAAGAGGTTTTTGTATGGGAAGGGAAGAATATATGTGCAAAGGAATTAAAATATCTGAGATCAGGTATGAAAAGGAGATTACGTATGGCGAGGGATCAGGTGAAGGGGTTTAGATGTCAAGAAAAGTATGGTATGACTATGGGTTAAGATGTGGGGAGGGATTTAGTTTGGGAAAGATCGGGTAGAGAACCGATCAGGTGTGGGAAAGGAGATTAGGTAATGGGGACATAGGTATGAGAAGGTAGGAAGGGAGTTAGCTTTAGAGAGAAAATTTAGTGTGGGATGGATATGAGGTGTATGTGGAGGATTAGTTATGCTCATGTGTTTTTAACTAGTGCAGAAAGCCTAGCATAATAATTCAAATTTGGGAGAATGCCAATATTGTAATTTCTAGTGTTGCTTATAGGTTTAATGTACTATGCATTAAGTTAGGTGCTTTTATCTTTTTTAATGTACTATGCATTAAGTTAGGTGCTTTTATCTTTATTGAACATTTATTAGATGAAAATGAGACTTATTTTGCACACGCGTTCGTCCAAATGGTACCAATATTTCCAGACGCTAAGCCTGCATTTGTTCACTAAAGCCGGGCATTCACTGCGCACGATGGTCGTCGTTCGATACTATTCTGTAAAGAACGCAACCCAACAACGCACGTAAAGGATCGTTTTTAATGGTGATCCGTTCAGACTGCCAACGACAATCATCAGACAGTGTCGCATCGTCCAGCGCTCACAGAGAGCAGAGTGGAATTTGTTGTGCGATGGTCATACGACCGGCTTATGACACAGTGATTGACCGGCTTTAGTTATACCACCTGTAAAGCACAGGTTGCACTCTCTCCCTTCATTTTAAACTAGGTGTGTATTTAAATGCTTGTGAATTTCTAACAAATATAAAATAGGTTTGATTATAATATTGTAAGTCAAAATTCGCTTTTACTAAACCACGATAATATTATACGTACTTGTGACGTTTCGTGTGCTTTCAGCAACACTTCATCAGGCAGTGAACTGTTGATGGTATCAGTTCCATTCACTAGGTGAAGAGCGACCTCTACTGCTGGTGCAACCAAACTGCAATTCCAAACTAAAGGATTGTAAAAGATTTCTCATATTCTAAAAGCAAAATAGAAACTTTATTCTGGCCTCATAAATTTATGGATTTTGTCATGGTAGGGAACTAATAATATGATGGTAAAAACTTTTTATAATTTACCAGACAAAGTGAAACTTATTCTCAGCACAGCCTTTTACACAGTGTTCGTAGTTGAACCATATATACTGTAAATCATTGATATTTGTCCTAATATTAGCATACGATGTAGGTAATTTAAGATGTTATAATTGCAGTGATACAGCCTGTTGTACATATTGGTTATCAGACAGAAGTAATCTACAGCTGATAAAGTGCCGTCTGGAAGCTTACGTGAAATTAATCATACATCAGGCTAAAAAAAAGTGCTTATTTCACACAGTCTTGGGCTTCATTAAGTACTGTATATGGTCTGATGTGGGCAATCAGAGTAGCCGATAAAGCCCTGCCCAAAAGCTTCTATAAAATAACTTGGATCTAAAATAGTTGTTTAGGAATTCATTTTATACTTATTTGTACCGACTAAGAGTGTTGCTTGTCAATGTTGGACTTAATATTCATTAAGTATGTTTATTTTATGTTGTGCTAAACTTCAAAGTGGATTACAGTGTGTAAATTTAAATTGGTAAATATTTATTTTTCTGATTTTGTAAGTGGAGTGATTGTGGGGAGTGCGATCCCCAGAAAACTTGTGTGCCTCATCTCTCTCAGGTACCGTACTAGAAATGCCCGCGCTCAACCTCATCACCTCACTCTTCCAGCTAAGGCCCACCCACTTTCTCATTGGGGAGTTTTAATTTGAGTGACAACATATCCTAGAACGGATTCACTCAACTGTGATTCTGGCCAAGTGGCATCCTAGAATCCACAACACGAAAACTCAGAATTCTATCATGCGCAGATGACTTTATGTGACGTTGTTACGTTCTAGGTCCTTTCGTCATCGTGAAATCGGCTCATCTTATTCACTTCTTGTCAGTGCTCTTAGATGTGCTGCCAGATTCCTTAAATTTAAGTGTTGGTAACTTGTGTAGAATCACATAATTCATTTTAGTTTGTGTTTTGTATCTTTACAGCCCACTGTAAACAGTAATGGTGGCACACTGAACAACCTCATCAATGTGATGAAGTCCGATTTTGAAGTGTTTGAAGCTTTAGCTATTGACTCCATCAACAGTAGTAATACTGCTAATCAGAACATTATGAAAGGTAATGTATAATCTCAGTAAATATCATTATCATCATCATCATTTAATCTAGCTACAAAGTATTACTCATCATCATACTTCATTACAAAATGGTAATTTTGATGCATAATCTCAGATCAACTATTATAACTATTACAAATGTCAGAAATAAATGCTGGCATTAAAAATTGGCAGCGGTCATAAGTTTAAATGCATTTATTCTCAGATCTTGGTATTTATAGCTTACTATAGATGTCAACAAGTTTATGAACTTTGATATGGCTAACAGGGATAATATTCATTATCATAATCAACAACAATTCCCAAAATATAATAAAAATTGGTAATGGCAATATACTTGTAGAGTGCATTGGACACAATTGTCTCGTCTCTAGTAAATGCTTGGTACGCCAGCAATAAATGCTTCATACGCCATGTAGTTGGCTATATAAAGTATAGCAGTAAAGGGTTGGACTTCAATGCAAGACGAACTAAGTCCTGCCAACAACATATTTGCTTGCGCCCTTGGGCAAGACAGGCATATTTCTCTAATTACTTTATCCTCTGGATGAGATGTTAAGTTGTTGATCCAGTGTGCATAATAATGAGCTTTAAATTGCACTACGGCAGTAGGACCTTAGAATGTAATTATGTTACAAAGAAGTGCGCTTGCGAGAACGTTCCATTCTTTTGTCGCCTTGATTCTAGAGCACAGTTTTACCCGAATCTACAACATGCAGAGAATCTTAGACGGTCATAGATGAGTGAATGTGTTCTAGCATCATGTCGTCTCGCAAATCAAAAACTCCTAGTTTAAGCACTTGTGCACAAAAAATCTGAACTAAGTATACTATAAAAAAAAAGAAAATAAGAGATTGTCTACAGGTTTACTGGTCATGGTATTGGTGGGCACTGCACTACTGTCACTCTAACTTCTTAGGTGCTAATACAAATTTTCTTGTTGACTTTCCAACAAAGACCACATAAGTAAGTAGTAAAGGTCGAAACCTGATGCTCTGGGCACCTTGGCATTTGGGCCAGACTGTGCCAGGCTGTTGGGGTTCACCACTGCTCCCACACAGCAGTCTGTTTTACCTTCCCAGCATGTCCCGGTACCCATTTATACATTTACATTGACAAGGTGGTAAATAGTCTCATATGCTAATATACATAAAGGGTATGTTGTTGAAAATGAAACTGAAACATATTACCAAATCACATGTTTACATTTTCAAGGACAAACTAAAATCAAACTATTATCTTTTTGATTGTAATAAAACTTTTTTTTTATACCCATAGGAGAAAGTAGTTCACCCCCTGGTGATTATAGTCAAGAAATTCCAAAAAGGATTTCTCCCGAGAAGTCTGGCGGTCCACCTATTCTTCCACCACATCTTCTGCAGGTGATGTTGAATAAAGACACAGGCCTACAGGTGAGAGAGTGCAATATGTGTATGCACCTGGCCCTATCAATTCATTAAGACTACTGGGCAGATTGCTATAAAATTGTTGGAAACAGTTACTCTAAACTGGTGCCTTATAAGCAGCTTCACAGTAGTGTAAGACAATTTCTATGAAACAGTCTTAAAAAGGTGACACTGAGAATTAAAATTCAGTCATCTAACTGATTCGACTGTAATGTATAGCAATGGTCTATGAAGCTGGGCACTCGCTGCATTGGACCGTCAGCCAAGGAATCTAACCCTGTTTCTAGTGCATGCTAGACAATGCAAAGCCGTCGGCTGATTGACGGTGGCAGGCTGAACGGATCCTCATTCAAAACGATCTGTCGTCCCATTGCGTTCTCCATAGAATCGCGTTGGCTGACGACCTCCGGGCACAGGCTTAATATGATCGCCTTAGTTTGTTTGCTATTGCTGCTCTAATTGTGTTTTTACACCAATAAAAATGCAAGTTGCAATAGTTCACCATCTTTAAAAAGATATGTCAGCCATCTGTCCCATTAGTGTAAAAAGAGCAGTACATTATCTCCCATCGTTGTATGGCCCAGTTCAGTATCCATGTTTCCCTATCTACCACTTAGTAAGGATAAACTTTTTTTTCTTTCTTTTCTTTCTTTTCATGTTTTAATGTGTATATATTATATATTATTTATTTCTTTCATTAGTATGATCCATCATTGCTTCCTGAACCAAACCATGTGATGTTAAATCACCTGTATGCATTGTCAATCAAGGTAAGAATTTACAAGTTGCTGTTCTCACGCATATAGGTTAGAGTGCTATGTTATACTTTGTTCACACTGTAAGTGTTAAATATACTTGAGATGCCCATATATGGGCATGTGATGTCATATCACGCCCATGTATGGGTAAGTCACAGGTATTTGTCACATAATTTGATAGTGTGAATGATCATTAGTCATACATAAAAAATCAAAGGTAGCAGCAGTTATAGTGTTGGAATCAATCCAGCCGGCCTCTCCCACCACCCCCTCCCCTACATTATTCAAAAGTTTTTCAAAAAATGGAGAAAAAAGTGAGATTACAGTAAAAGGTCCATTTTACGTACCCCTTGGTACCAAGTGATATTCGTAAATTGAAAGATTCGTAAACTAGATCAGGTGTCAGTTTCTATTACCTAGGCCTAGCTATCCTTTGCCATTGAGCAGCGAATAGGCTGACGGCAGCCTGGTCTAGCATGAACCGACAGTGCAGCAGCCTGGTCTGCTGTGCTAGAGCCTAGCAGAAATTACCTTCGATAAAAACCAAATTATTGTAATCACTGGCATTCTTCCATTTAATAAAATATTGTTTCAATTCGTATTAAAACATCTGTTTTAAGGACCTTTCTGTCGTGTTCTTTCTAGTTCTTAGATCGCTGAATTGTGTTGTTTACATGCATTTCGCTGTCAATAAAATTGACCCCAACGCACTTGTTTACATGTGTGCTCAATCCGACGACTCTCGTTGGTTGGTAGTTCGTTTTTTTGGTTAGGTTTATTACATTAATATAATAAACCTGACTTTGTTAAGAAAAATATACATTATCACTTTGAAAAATGTGCGCAACCGGACTTTCTTTACGTTAATAATTTGTCAATGATGACGTCATTAGCTGCAAAGACCATTCGTAAAATCGACTATTCGTAAAATCGACGTTCTTAAAATGGACGTTTTACTGTACATTCAAATTCTTGGGTGGAAAGTATTATTTCTGGCTATCTAGATGTGCCATAATCATAAATTTTCTTACCTCAGCCCCAACTGAGGTCGGAGTCTGAGGTGATCCAGACCCTCCATCTGTGGAAGTTCCTCCCTGGGGGGCCCCCCCCCCCTTTTCAAATTCTTGGATCTGCCATTGAGTTATGCTGTCCTTCATTAGGTGAAGCACACACACTTATCACATTGTAACAACAGTGCAAAACACCTAACATAAACATAAGCCACCTTACATAGTCCTTTCATATCTAATGTAAACTGGCCAAAAATTGTTAAGCAAACAATATGTTCGATGATAAGATTAGGTTTTCAAACTGATTATTTCTGTTTATATTGTTGGGTCTGTGTGCTTTAGAAATTTATTTTCACCATAAATCAAACATTCTTCTGATTAAATACCTCTAATGAATATGAAATTATCTTCCAAGGCCATTTATGTTAAATATGTACAGTACACTAGTTTATTTCTGAACAAAAAAAAAATTGTTGAAGCAAGACGGAAAAACATATTCTCCTGATTATGTTTAAATTCCATTTTTTTTTCATAACAAATCTAACTTAAAATAGCAGACATTTCTATCCACAGATTATCAACACACTAGTTGTAAAAGCTACAAAACACAACATAATTAGACTATTCGAATTGATGATGTTAATGTTGAACCTCCCCCCCCCCCCCCCCCCCCCCCCCAAGGAAATTTAAGATTTCTAAATTTTGTAACTCTTTGTTTTTTTTTTCCACACAGGATGGTGTTATGGTTTTAAGTGCAACTCATCGTTACCGCAAGAAATATGTAACAACCGTAATGTACAAACCCATTTAAACCACTGGAAAGTGCCTTAATGCACTTTATAAGTACTAAATATGATTTAATTTTGTAGTTAATTATTACTTAGGTGTGCCAAATTTATCAATAACCTATCTGCCATTGTTTTGTGTATAAATGAGATGTTTGTTGATAGATGTAAGCCGAACATACAGTATGCTATTTCATTTTTGTCTGTCAGACTTGAAGAAGTTTGGTTAGATTTTTTTCGTAAGTTCTGTCCGTACTATCAAATTTTCTTGTAAAAACAACAGTTGTATGCCCAAATATAGTCATAATGTACCTATATATGGTCATGATGTGATGTCATCATGACCATATTTAGGCATGTTACATGTTTGTTTTTGTCAAGTAAAATTGTATAGTCTGGACAGGGCTTAACATGGAAAGACACCTGATTTAATAAAGTTTGATCAAACATTTTTTTGAGTTTGTCAGAAAAAAAATTGAAAGTGTGTGCCTGGGAAAGAGAGAGCGAGGGAGAAAAAAAGAAATATGAACTTATGTTGAGGTTTATGAGTTAGATTTTTGTTTTGATAAGCACATTTAAGATGGATGGTAGGGACGTAGTTAAGTGCATGATCTTTATAGTGCAAAATGATTTAAATGTAAACCAAAGAGTGGACTAAGTACAACAATAATTATAATCCTCCAATTAGTTAATTAATATGCCACAGAGCCACTATCTCTCTATTCATCCACTTTTGTGCATCTAGCTATATTTGGCTATTTAACCCAATTCTGCAGGTGAGCCTGTTTTTGAAGTTGACTAAAATTCATTAATGCTGGCATATTTTGGGATTTTGTTAAGGGGTGATTGTAGAAGGAGAGTATGGGAGAGGGGTTTTTAGTGAAGTGAAGCATGAAAATTATCAAAAATATATAATAAAACATATATAATGTGTAATACAGAAAGTATAAAAATCTGAAGAAGATCATCACCTTCATCTCACAAGTTATGGTGTCTGAATAATAAGATTAACAAGTCTTTATGTTTAGAAAAAATTCTTAGAATATTATTTGATGAATCATGGTTCAAAGCCAGACTCCAGAGGAAAAATCAATTTTGATATGTTATATAATTATTTTTTCTATGACACAAAAAGTGTGTTTGGCGAAAAAATTAGGAATGGTTAATGAGATACAGATCATTGAATACTTAGAAACTGGCAGAAATATGTGGTAAAAAGGGTGATTATGCCCTTTTTATTCCCCCAGTTTTCAAATATTCAAAAAATCTGTATATCATTAACCGTTCCCAAGTTCTTTTGACAAAGACCCTATTTGAGTCTTTAAAAAAATCGGTTGTGCAACAACATATCAAACATTTTTTTTCTTCAGAGCCTGGCTTGAAATGGTGATGTTGGACAGGTATCATGGATTGGTACACACTGTGTTTCACGTACAAACCTTGTCCTGAATTTATTGAAATCTTACAGCCTAAGTTATACTCACTGTTTTTTTTTTTTTTTGGGGTTTTTTTCTGACATTGGCTGATTTAAATAAATTGGCTGATTGTTCATGCTCTTCCAACAGTATAAAAAACACAAACTTACAAATTAAAATTCAAGTAAAGACATAATCTCTGTGTTAACCAAATAAACTTACAAAAATGTTATTAAATATTTATATTTCCTAATTTGCATATTTAAGTAGGTGATTAACTTTCAGTTGAAAATTTGAATGAGAAAGTCTCAAAAATAACAAAAAAAAGTCTTATTGAAAGTTTATAACTTATTTGATTCTTGTACATCGCTGGCGACAGCTCAAGGGGGGCCTGGTGGGCCGCCGAACAATTTTAGTAAGTGGGCCAGCCCTCCTGGAGGCCCCATTAATAATTTGTCAAAAAATTGTTTGAAAGTTGATTTTGAGAAACAGCAGGCAGACTTTAAGCGAAGCATCGAGCACCGGTTGGCTGTTGTTAATCTCATTTTTGGTCGCAAAGTATTATAATAGCTTCCATAAAGAAAACATCACCAAATTAGTCTCCGGAATGTAAAAGATACAATTTTTTTTACCCTGGACCCAAACCGGATGAAATTATACATATTTTTTTCTGCAAAAATATCATACTACATAAAACATTTGCAAGATTTGGTATGTTCTCCAAATAATTATATATTTCCCAAACAAATGAATCAAAACTCTATAGTGAAGTTGGTAATTTGTTTTGTTTATGATATTTATTGACAGTTTAGATGGATTCATTGATAATTGTGCGTATTGCATAATTATTTTGATGTGATTGTCCACGGTGATTATAAGAATACTATTATAAGTATATAACTGCCATTGTTGATGTAAGTAGATCTGCCTCTGTTGATATTAATGAACCATCTTGTATTTTCATCTGTGCATGCCTATGTCAAAGGTCAAGGAATTGTAAAGTAAAAAAATACTCGAGCCTTGACAATCAACATACCCATTTGCGACTGAAAATATGATATGGCTTGTTTCAGAAGATTATGGTAGTACAGTATATAAAATCCCTAGTTGTTGCCAGAATATGCTGTATTTCATTGCCCAATTTTCCAATGGTAAATCTTCAACATGTTTATTGGTCAATAAAGCTTATACTCTGGTGGGTTAAATGAAGATTTAAGAGAATTTAAAGGAAAATAATGGTGTAGATAAAGTAGAAATAATCTGTTGTGTAATTAATGTACTAAGAATAAGGTTTATATCAAATTGTTCAGGTATGAAAGATAAGCAAATATGAGGGTTCTATTCTTCCTGTGTAAAGCCGTAATTGAGTGCCAAACTACTAATTGGCACAAGTAAAAATGGTAGTGTTTTGAACAGGTTCCAAAGGGTGCACAAGCGGCATTAATTGAGGGCGGTGTTTTCTTGAGCTCTGGTTATTGTAAATAATGTACAAAAGTATAGGGAGGAAAATGAATTATGTAAAGTCCTGTGTTTGGTTTATAAAGTGGGAAAATAAAAGCTTTGATGTTGTAAAGTGTAATATAATGATAGTATAATTCATTGCTGTTTGATCCACCAATTTGATCCATTAATATATTTCAAAAACAATTACAGAAGAAAATAATGTATAAATAAATACAAATACATTGGGGACTTTGGTTTCTAGATGGCCTAAAATATCCTCTGAGGCGTTTTAATTGACATTTTTTTTTTCTTTCTTTTTTTTTTTAATTTCCAAAAGGACTGGCCTTTCCCCCCCTCCCCTTCCCAAATCTGCCACTGAGAACGATGGCAAGTTTATTCAGATTTGCCTTATCATGTTTTTAGAGAAACATAATTCATAGTTTCAAGGTGACACTTTATTTAAACAATCAATCAATTTAGTTACCTAACCGTCTTTTTATTGGCATTTTCAAGACGACACGAAGAAAAAGTCATCCAGCCGTATACGCCTACAGTTATGCGGAAAGTAAATTTTTGTCCATCTCTGAATTTTTGTAGTGTTAATTGAGTCTATTATTAAAATGTTGGAATGGTACCTTATACAATAAAAGGGGCAGATCAAGATATAAATCTGGGTAGGGGCCATGCGACGTGCGTAGCACTGAGCTGGGTTGGTGTTTAGATTTTTGTTTGAATTTCTTTTTGAAATGCATGAGCCTCTAGACACTGACGGAATTTAAATCGAAAATTAGCTTGTTTTGGAGTAGGTCTACGTTAACATGTTCCCCTCTTTCTGGACTTCATATTCTTCTCTGCTCTTTTTTTTTTTTTTTTTTTTTCTTTGGCGAGTGATTGCTCTCTGAATTTGTCCCAGATTGATTGAATGATTGTTTGATAATGCTTATTTATATTGGGAAGCTTCATTGGAACTTAGATCAATACATTTAACCTATGCACGCTAATGAATACTGTACATGTACGCAAATGATGATTTATGCAAAGACCTAAATTATACGTTGCACGCAAATATTCAAATTTTAAAAAAAAATATGCATGCAAAATATTAGTTGATTACAGTATATTGATTATATAATAATTACACAACATTTTTTTACATTGTCTATTACTGATATGTGAGGGGCACCCAACATTTTCTCGCCCCCGGTCCTCCTAACTTATCATTACGACACTGACTGGTGTCCTTTAGATTCTGATGTGATCCATGTCATGTTGGCATGCTGAGTTCCTTAGAATCCTTGAAATGCTGGTGTTCCTTTTGATGCTTGCATTCCTTGTGAGGCTGGGGTTTCTTGTGATGCTGGTGCCCCTTGGGACGTTAGCGATCTTGAGATGATGGCGTTACTTTATTTGCTTCATGTGCTGGGATCTTTATCATATAACTTGGCCATTTTCAATCTGGTACCGTAGCCTATTCCTTAAAATACTGGCTTGAGATGCATATGTGCTTAGGTATCTTTATCATGCTGGTGTTCCTTACGAAGCTGGCATTATTTGAGTGCCTGGTGTTCATTGGAGATACTGGCGATCCATGATATTTTTTAAGAAATGGAAATGGAAATCGATTTGTATAACGCCTTGCACAATTAAACATCATCTAAGCGCTGGGATTCCTCCTTAAAACAAGTTCTCGTTATCTCAAAAGCTCCGATGAGGGCAGTATAATAGAGGCAGTAGATTATATTGGCCCTAATGGCCGCCCATACAAGTCTTTGTAGAGCTCCTCATCGGAGCTAAAAATGTTCCGATCGATCCTAGACGCAGGGGGTTCCCGGAACGCCGCCCTCAGTAGCGAGTGCGAAACACAAAATTCAGGATCAATAGTGGAACGTGAATGCATATGGTTTCGTAGTCAGATTTGCGAGAAAAACTTCAGCTACCCGTATTTCTCGACTGAGACATCAGTGGGAGCTGTAATTTGTATGGCTAGGAGATTGTGCAACCCTTAATTCGTATTAAGGGAATTTACGCCCAGAAACCTTGTAGATGGCATAGGTTCGTACTCATTGTGTATCTATGCCAACTGGAAAGACGAATTGGTTTGGTCAAAGAACTATTTCAAGTTGTTTACAAAGGATATTTTTTCATAATTCAAAAAATTTTCTAGAAAGGTTATTAAAATGTTTGCCTTATTTTCAATTTATTAATTTTGGAATGTTGTCATCAATATAAATATTCTGTGGTTTAACACAGGCGTATGTACGTGTTCGCTTAAACAGCAATAAAAACGATAAATTAATTTATATGCTTGTAAAGAAATTACACTATGGAATTAATGTAGGCCTGACTTCGAAAATCATTCGAATTGGACATGTGTATATGTGTAGGCCTAAGCGTTCGCTTTAAAATACATTCATACAGCATAAATATAGAAACGATAGTCATTTCAATTTTTGAATAAAGTTTTATACAGTCATATACTAATTTGATTAAGGGCAAACTGTTTGTGACAATTTACCGTCCAGACGTGTAGAGCTCTGGAAAAAATACCGCATAGCGTAGCACCATTCTTTTAAGACTAACCATTATTGGCATATTTTGAGTTCCTATTTATTTCTATTAAAATATCGTTAAAAAAATTTACAATAACACGAATCTATAGATATATATTGCAGTAGTTCCTCTACCTTTTGTTTGCGTTCGCGGAATCCTGAGGACATGTCAAATGTCTTCACTGACCCCCATGTCTAAATATTACTCATCGTCCATATCCCAACAATAGGGTTATGGATAGAAGACGGTACACCACGAAAGTAAAACAGTGGCGAAAACTGGAATTCGAAATAGAAACCACCTCAGCCCCAACCTAGGGGAATTTTTTAAAAATGTTTATAGCACTTCTAGATCGCGGGAAATGGCACTGTCAGACTCAAAATGTTAAGGTAATTTGATCCCCCATTTAATTTTTAATTTGTAAAATGTAGGGCAACTCATGGTTGGTATTCTACCAATAAGATTATGGATAGAAGATGATTCGCCAAATTACGTTATATTCGATCTTAGAATTCAATATAAACAGGAGGGGAGGAGGCGCAGACAGTAAATTTTACAGAGGGGATTTGCGCTACCTCGGTCCCATGGGTGGGGCTGAAGTACGAGTGTATGGAGCACTTTTAGATGGCCGGAAATGACACACCAGACTCAAAATGTGAATGTAATTTACTGCTGTCCCCCATTTTACTTTTAATTTTGTGAAATTCAGGGCTCCGTTCTGATTTTTAAAAAATATATGATATCCAGCTAAAAGCAATACAGTACAAGAGAAAACATGGAAACAAGTTGTACATTACCGAAGGATTGCCACTATGAAGTGCTCTACTATACTAAACATCTTTACATAAAGAATACATTTAAAAAAAACTAATTTAAAAGATTCTATCAGATCACGCATAATATTGGAATTAAAATTAATGCCAGTTAAAACAGTGAACGAAGTCTTGCTTGTCAAAGGTATTTAATTATTGCCAAGGCATGATCACACTACTGCAAGACAATTAAGAAAAAATAATGGAATCATGAAAAAGTTATTCTAATAATCTAGCGGATCCAAGAATTTGTTCGCGGACCCCATGCGGACCCCTATGACTTGGCGGACCCCAAATTATTTTCGCGGACCCGGCCTAAGGTTGGGAACCACTGATACATTGAATGAGGACTTGTCACATTACAAAAGCGACACATTTGAGGATGCATTATTCAAATTACATTAGTACTGTTCCGGCCATACAGTACAGTGAAATCAGCCCACGGACTGTCTCTTATACACATCTAGATGTGTATAAGAGACAGTTGATATAGTCAACATTAAACGTTTATACCAATATTGTTTTAAATGTATATTATTTATTTATTTATTTACTTACTTAAATGTATTTATTTATTCATTCATTCATTCATTTGTGATTTTCTTACTTTAATCTGATTCGATAAAAAAAAAAACATAGAATTCTTTTGATTGAGATTCCCTAGCTTCTGAAAAAATGTGTGGCATAGCGCCATCACATGGTCTGTTATAATAGACTCATCAGTTCCAGGATTTTTTGGGTGTGGTGGTGGAGGGAATTTTGTTACTCATTCTTTAATATTCTTGACTCTAGCCAATTTGGATATAGTCAAACACAGTGCTAAACTGATTTTTTCCACAATTGTTCTTTTTTTTTTTTGGCAGGGGAGGATTTTGTTACTCTTACTTAACATGCATGCCTCTAGCCAAATGGAAATAGTCAAACACAATGCTAAACTGCTTTTTACCACAATTTTTATTTTTATTTTTTTGTGGGGGGAGGGGTGGGGAGAATTTTGTTACTCATTCTACATGCTTGACTCTAGCCAAAATGGATATAGTCAAACACAGTGCTAAACTGCATTTTAAAAATGCATTTTCAAATGTATTTGATATCCAACTAAAAGCAATACAGTACAAGAGAAAACATGGAAACAAGTTGTACATTACCGAAGGATTGCCACTATGAAGTGCTCTACTATACTAAACATCTTTACATAAAGAATACATTTAAAAAAAACTAATTTAAAAGATTCTATCAGATCACGCATAATATTGGAATTAAAATTAATGCCAGTTAAAACAGTGAACGAAGTCTTGCTTGTCAAAGGTATTTAATTATTGCCAAGGCATGATCACACTACTGCAAGACAATTAAGAAAAAATAATGGAATCATGAAAAAGTTATTCTAATAATCTAGCGGATCACAGAATTTGTTCGCGGACCCCATGCGGACCCCTATGACTTGGCGGACCCCAAATTATTTTTCGCGGACCCGGCCTAAGGGGTCCGCGCCCCAGGTTGGGAACCACCTATATATTGAATGAGAACTTGTCACACTACAAAAGCGACACATTTGCATTATTCAAATTACATTAGTACTGTTCCGGCCATACAGTACAGTGAAAGCAGCCCACGGATCATCATGTTCAGTGAAACATGTCCGTTGCATGCGCGATTGCACAATTTTTTTGGCGGCTTTTTCACGCGCATGGGAACTTGCGATTTTTTTAAAGCACGTTGTTAGAGAAGAATTTTTTTTGTTTTGGTTCTAATGTTAGCTGGTATTTGGGTCATTCATGCTTGCGCATCTTACGTGATTGATTCAATAATTTTCATGGATTTGACATTAATTCCACTGTTTCTGGTTTATCAAATTCAATTATATTTCATGTGATCTCCATGGAAGTTCCATGGATAATAATCTATGTTTATGCAGATATCTTTATTTATTAGAATGTGAAAATTGTTTTTCTATATTATTTTTTGGTTTTTTTGGCAACATACGCAGTTTGTATGCATAATTGAATGATTTGATAGAGGTTGTGCCGTACGCTCCTCTCGTATGCTACACAGGGAGAGATTATGTTTTTATTTGGTTTGCACCGTACGCTATTCGTAGGCTGCTTTACTGAATGCTTTCTTTTTGAGATGGTTTGTAGAAGATATGCTTATGTTTTGTTTTTTTTTTTTTTTTTTGGTTTTGTTTTTTGCATTGTACGCTGTCCGTAACCGTATGCTGCTGTCTTGCTGAATTATTTGTGATTTTTTTTTTTTGCAACATACGCTATTCGTATGCTGCATTATTGAATTATTTATTTTTGATGGTTTGCACCGTATGCTCTTCGTATGCTACAATCTCGACGTACAAATTAATATTGTAATTTTGGCAGCAATACACTTTCGTACTTACCTGCTGTCGTCAGTTAAAGTCATACTGTCACAAAATTACCTCGTAATGAATTCTAAAATCTCCGTTGATTTTTTTTATTTTTAATCAACGAGAGCTAAATTTTGACATTAGCTTTTTGTTTGGAATAGTCGCTAGTATTATTAACGTTATCGAACAGCTGGAAATGGAAATGAAAATTAGAATGGATTAAAAACCAAAAAAAATCGTGAATAACAATTCAACAACAAAGAATTATTATCCAAAAGCCAAAAATGTACAATATAAAGGTGAGGACTAGCCTAGAAGTAAACTTGTCTTAGCTTAGCCCTGGAGCTGATTTGCAATTGCAAAAAATGACAATAAGAAGCAGAAGTAGAACCAAACAATGAAACTTAAGTGACTTAATAACTTTTTGGACTTAAAAATAATGTTTCTTACGTTCTCTTTTGAATTTGTTAAAATTTTTAATCTCTGTTATATTTCTATGAAGCTTATTCCATTTAATAAGACCTTGACTTTTAAATAAAAGTCCAGATAGAGATAAATAATAAGAATTTGTTATTAATCTTACAACCTTTTTTTTTTCTTTTTTTTTGAGTCTTACGTATTTCTTTGATATTACTTGGATAATCAATGGAGGAAAGAAACAGTCCTCCATGGATAATCAAAGCCCCAAATAATTATACTACAATATAGTAAATAAAGTAAAATAATAGAATTACATAAAATGTAAGTAAGATATCACGTGGGAAAAACAAAATAACTTTATTTAAGATTCCAGCAACTTTTGAGATTTTAGGTTGAACTGAATTTAAATGGGATTTCCAGCTTAAATGTTCATTTATAGTAACTCCTAAAAATAAAATATTTGACCTACTTTATATGATATTGTTTTTGATTTTTACTTTATAATTACCAACCTCACATGCACGTTGATACGGTCTAAATAAAATATAATTAGTTTTCTTAAAATTAGTAACTAATTTATTAGAATCAATATTTAGTAATATCTGAGTCTAATAAATGGTTGTGTCATCAGCAAATGATATAATATTTGAATTGTTGCAGGCACAATGTAAATCATTAACATAAATAATAAATAATAGTGGCCCAATACCGAATATGGGGAATAGTTTTTGTAGAAGTAGCTGATGGTAATAAGATTAAACACTTCTGTGTTTTTACGAAACCTATATTGAGAACGTGTCATGAAATTATCAAGAAAGAAAAAGTTAAGCATAAATTTTTCGAGAATTTAAAAAAGACTGGAAGGAGAGAAATTGATCTGTAATTGGAGGTTTCAGCTTTGTCCCCTTTTTTGAGAATTTGTACCAATGTGCAATTTTCAAGCTGTCAGGAACTGGAATTCCGTTTTTAAATCAAAAATGTAAAAAATGGGAGGTATTGGTGAACATATTGAATTTGCAACAAGCTTAATCATTTTTGAGGCATATGATCATAACCAAAGCTATTGGATGATTTAAGACAAAATATACTATTAAAAACTTCTTGATCAATGACTGGAATAATAAAAAATGAATTTTATCATGGATTGATGTTTAAGTGTTTATTAGCAGAGGTGTTCATGATAGAGATTGATGTTACAGTGACCCTGTTTATTGTTTTATAGTAGTAATTCACAAAAGTTACAGCATTCATTTTAAAAAGAAGCCCCCCCCCCACCCTCCACCACCTCTTTACTTTGCAAAAGTAGCCTCGAAAAGAAGCCCATCCTGAAAGAGGTCCATCTCGAACGAAAAGAAACCAATCCAAATTTCGTAAAAGAAAAAAAAAGAAGCCGCCTTTAATCTATCCAACGGTACCAGAATTTTTCCAATATGTCGAGTTTCAAGAGAGATATCAGCAGTTGTCTGTCAGAAGGTGAGTTTTTTACCCAAATCTCATGAAAATTTCAAATTGCTCTAACTCATGGGAACATGCTGGCGCGGAGCACAAAATTTCACTGTAGGGTTATCTCAGCTAGACCCCATAACAGACAAAATTTTTGGTGATTTCAAAGGGGTCGGACGAAAAGTGTGTTGGAACCATATGGAATGACCCAGAAGTAAAAAAAACAGCAGGATAAAAAACGGTAAAACCGAACAAGAGGGGTAAAATGAACAATATAAAGCATTGCAAAGTGGTGTAAAAATTAAAATTGAAAGAATAAAACCATAAAAAATGTTCGACAATTTTAAAATTTTTATGTACACCTTGTTTGCGTGTTTTCTTTCGTATTTCGTTTACCTGGATATTAAATAAATTAAAAATATCAGGAGGAGCCCTAAATTCTACCAATTTAAATAATATATGGGGAATAAAAGATTATTACATTCAAAATTTTAATAGTTCTCTCACCTTGCTCGATTGTATTTGTTAATTGTTTTGTTTGTTTTCTTATTTTTCTACTGCTTTATTGCATTAGTTAGGTTATCTTACTTTGAATAGGTTTGGTTCTATGCAAGCTTTACTCAGGGGGGATGTTTTTGACTTATTGTGGAGAGATCGCTTACAGCGCTTCGTAACTGAAAAGAAAGGCGCTATACAAGCAACAAGTAACAAGTAAATTTTGAATCCGACTGCCATTCCCGGCAATATAGAAGTGCCATAAACATAAAAATGTCGTTAATCAGCCCCAACCACGAATTCCAGGATCACTAAACAATAATTATGCGTTGAAGTCTGGTAGGCCTTATTACAATTTAAACTATGATCAAGTGAAATAACATGCAAACAAATTAAACATTCAAGACATTAGGCCTATGTTTGAAATTTTAAACTGTTATATTATTGTTTGGTGCATTCACGCGTTCAAGTGGGCGGAGCTAAGTAAGTGAAACATTTGTTTTCATCAAAAAGATTTGTTATTGAGTGATCTCCTTAATGGTTTCAACATCTTATCTATCAGTAGTTGTTTTTAATATGGATCATATTTTCAGCAAATGGATACAAGTATTATTGATAATGGTAGCGACAGTTACAAATATAGCTCTAATGGCTGGCGGATTAAACTCATTCGGTAATTTTCAACCTCACATTGTTGACTTATTTGAGGCGACAGTCGCCGATGTTGCTTGGGCTGCAACTTTTGCAAATTCGTCACTGAGTATATTCGGTAAGTACGAGGTAGTTATTTAGTTTTATTAATAATGTCAGTTATCACGTAATTATAGTAATTTGCATAAATAACAATAGTAATATAGTGTCCCAATGATAAAACTTAAAATGATGCTAAAAGTAAAAGATAATAATAATGATGTTTAAATGTTATTGCTATGATGGTGCTAATGCGTGATGATGATTAATGACAAATGATAGTGGTGGTGGTGGTGGTGGTGATGGTGATGATGATGATGACTTACACTTTACATTTTCTCGTTATTCTTTTTTAGGAATAATAAGTGGCATCCTCATTGACAGATGCGACGTTTCTAAAGTAATGTTTGCAGGCGGAATTTTTTCGTTTTGTGGAATGTTTGGCATGGTATTTGCAACTGATGTACTACAATTGACTATATTCATTGGAGTAGTGCTGGGTAAGGAGAACTAATGCATTTTGAACGAATAGATGCATAATTATGTGTCAACATTAAATGTACAAATAAACTGAATAGGCCTAACAATTACGTTTGGGCGGACAGAGTGGTGGTTAAGACTCTCTGAGTTAAAACCACGTCCGAAACATTAGAACTTTTCTCTCACATATCGATTACACTGATCGTCCTTAAGCTTGGTTCAAACTGCACACTTCATGCACAAACAGAAGATATTTGTCACAAACCCAAGCCGTGGCTCTCTCATATTGTGACGAAAAGTTTAATTATGACCACCTCAGGCCAAGATGAGGCCAACATTTGCATACGATTAGATTGCCAAAGGCGCAGATCTGTTGTTAAAGGTGGGAGGGGGCATTTCGTGAGACCACCATTTGAGGAAATAGTACTGCTAGCTAGATGAGAATGAATAGGGATGACACCTATAGGTGCCCGGAAAGTGACTGTCATACTTAAAAAATCCTACCTGTAGGCCTACTACGTTCATAATAAAATAATATATCAACAATACAATACAACAACTATTTTTCTTAATACAAATTAGGGAGTGCGATGGCACCGTATGCACCCCGTGCATCAGCACCAGCATAGAAAATAAAAGTTAAAAACATCGTCTTTGATATATTTACTTTACTTTACCTACTTCAAAGACTTGAGTCCACACCCATTTTAGCCCCACTATAGTTGGGACTGTGGTGCGAAATTTGAGGAAATAGTAAGTTTAGATTGCCGGAAATGACATCATCATCACGTTACCATTATTTCTCATGATTTTTTTAATTTTTTATCAGCGATTTTTTGGCAACCATACAGATCTAATTAATATGTGTGATGTACCATAGAAAATAAAATTTTAAAACATTGTCTTTGATGTAAATACTTCACTTTACCTACTTCAAAGCCGTGAGCCCACACCTACCTACGCCACACCATGGTTGGGGTTGAGGTGCGAAAATTTAAGGAAATAGTACCCTCTTCTTATAAAGTGGAATTCGTCATCATCACATCACCATTAAAGTCAAAATGAAGTGCTAACAAATTTCTCATGATATTTTTCAACGATTTTCAGAATCCATAGATCCAACTAATATGAGTGATGTACCATAGTAATTAACACTTCAAAGCATTATCTTTGATGTATTTGGTTACCTATTGCAAAGTCGTACGTACGTAGTCGTCGTCGTACTCACCGCAGGCCCACCAGGTTTGAGGCTGAGGTGAGAATATTTGAGGAGATAGTACTTCAAACTGGCCGGAAATTACACTCTTATAATAGTAAAAGCCATCGTCCTAACATTACCGGTACCATGATATTTTATCAGCGATTTTCGGCTATCATAGAGATCTAATTAATCTGTATTGTATACCATAGAAAATATAACTTAATTGTTTTTAATGTATTAGTTTAGTTTACCTACTTCGTGTACCGAAAATCTTATACTCAGTTTTCTCATTCTCAAATTATAACAAAAGCACGCGCACTCGAGTCGTGAGTTATAGGTAATTCAGATGTTAGTGATACACAGGTATCTTCCTATAAGATATACAGTATATTCAGGCTGTACAGCTCTTTTTCGTTAAACCTGGGTCTTTTATGAAGTTCGTTTCAACAACTTTCAGGCATCATCTTTACTTATGAAATTACATTTCTGTCGAAATGTGGGGGTTCCAACCCCTCTTAAAGAATATAGGTGGGGGTGTCCCTCGTCCCCGTGTCCCAAGTCCCCATGATCTGCGCCCATAACGATTGCGTCTAAAAGTAGTTCACATTGAAACTCCTCTGGTGATTTCCGTGGCCAAGCATTCCTTTAGGCCTAGCTCAAACGCATCTAAATTCCTCTTGCATGAACCAACTTCATCCTCATACTCTCTCATTGCTTTTACAATCTGCTAATTATTTTTTTATGTTTTAAACTTTTTTATGAAGGTTTTGGGCAATGTTTGGTTTTTAACTCAGTTATCTCATCTATCAGCTATATGTTTTGCTCTGAAAAGTTTGACTTATATCTGGGAATTACATTGTGCGGCATCTCATTTGGAACGACGGTGTTTTCAATATTAACTGAGGTAAAATTATAATTATTTTAAAAGAAATGCTCATGGAAATTGATATGGGATTTTTAAAATGAGAACATTGTTATAATCTTTAGTCCTACGTTAAAATATCATTTGGAAGTTTATTCCATCACATCAGACAACAACTTTAGACTAATTATGTAGGGCATCTGGCAAAAAATTTAAGATAAATTCACTCACTTTTTTTTATTTGTAAAGAACAATTTTTTTTCCGCCCCTATTTTTTCAGTGACGATATATGACGGAGATACACATGTTAACATGGCGTACAGACAGTACTAAATAAATCGAACTGTTGAAAATTATTGTGTGTGTTACGATCACTTATTTGTGTATTATAAGCATCACCACATGTTCCTTGCCTTCTAACCCCAGGCCCCCGTGTTCAATTCCTGTTACGGTTAAATTTTTTTCTCACGACCATCAACAACTCCAATCCAGTCCAATCCAATTCGTAAAGCGTCTTCTTTGCAGGTACGAAGCGCTGCCTCCCTCATTAGAGTTATAGCAATGTACATGTTTAAGACTTAAGCTACCCTTTTCCATCATTTTCTTTCTTTATTTATTTTTCATACTATATTTGATATTGTCATTTTGTTATTGTAAATGGTGGTCGAATGAAATGAAAATAATAGTCTATGTAGAGCATTCTGTGTGTGTTTGTGAAGGGATTGCCACATAGAAAATTAAGTATATTCTTAGCTTCTGCTTAAAATGGAATTTTGAAAATTGTGCATAGTATGCATACCTGTCTCTTATACACATCTAGATGTGTATAAGAGACAGAAATTAGGGAGTGCGATGGCACCGTATGCACCCCGTGCATCAGCACCAGCATAGAAAATAAAAGTTAAAAACATCGTCTTTGATATATTTACTTTACTTTACCTACTTCAAAGACTTGAGTCCACACCCATTTTAGCCCCACTATAGTTGGGACTGTGGTGCGAAATTTGAGGAAATAGTAAGTTTAGATTGCCGGAAATGACATCATCATCACGTTACCATTATTTCTCATGATTATTCTAGCCCACCCGCCGGGTAAACATGTTAAATGCTTCATTAAACACCAAATATAGTTCCCTAGGCCGGTAGCCGATCATTTCGGTCGCGCCTCATTTCAGTCGCAGTTCATTTCGAACAAATATATAGAGCGCCGAAAGAGTTGCGAAAACGCAAAATTTAATATGCCTAGGCCCTATAATTATTAGTTCGTCAATCGGTTTATCATAGGCCTAAGTATTTTTTTAAATTTCCGTTTTGCTATCTTTCTACTAACATATTTTCTTTCTTCCATTTACGGTGATATATTCATGATTGAAACATGATCTTATGATTGAAACAATGGAGTTTAGTATGTGCTTCATGCTATTCTTTTTGTTGCGTTTTCATATACTATAATTTAATAATTAAGGTCAATAAAATGTATCTTTGATTTTAATTGAATGAATTGAATGTTGTTACCATCTGAAATATAAAAGAAGCATGAAACGGCTTTTAAAATGTACCGCATGCACTTATAAATTTATTGATAATTTTATATGGAAAATATAAATATTAAAATACATATTTCCTTTACAATATTATTATAAACATGATCAGAACATATGGTAAATGGAAACGTAACAGACAAGAAAAAAAAACGTATGCGAAACTAATCTATTGACTATACTTATTCCATAAATCTTTACTTGATTCAAGCAGAATAATAAAAATTATATAATTTAAATAACGAGTTGGCTGGTTTTTCCTGATAAAAAGTTTGATTTTTATAAATATTTGTTATGTAGTAGTAGAAAGCGTAGAATCGATAACAAAACGAAAAAAAAAACCCCATCCGATAAAAAAAAGAGTGAAATGGTACTAGGAATGCAACAAACTATAAAATAACCTATAAATACCATAATATTAATTGAAATTTAGTTTAGTAATAATAGTATTCAATTTATTTGTTTTTAAGTAGCCTATGTTGTTACTTAGTAGAAAGACAACAAAACATAAATAAAAAAAAGTATGATAAACCGATTGACGAACTCACAATGATAATTAGGCCTGTTGTATTAAATTTGGCGTTTTCGCAACTGCATTGGCGCTCCGTATATTTGTTGAAAACAAACCGCGACCGAAATGAAGCATGGGCAAACCCACTAACGTACGTTGAGCACTTAAAATCCTGAAATTAATGTGACTTTGCAACACAAGATGAATAAATTATGACGTTATTCGTTAACGTCGTGCGGCGAAAACTGCCTAATAACTAAAGTTGCCTTAAAGTTGTTTAATGTTTAACATTTATATTTATTTCTTGGTTGTTGCGATTATCCATACCATGGTCCATAGGCTCAACATCATTCATCACTTTAACAATGCTTTTCAATTATTCTTTTTAAACTGTTTTTAATTATTGTTATTAAAGCAACACTATATAGTATAAGTGACTAAGCGACTTGATTTTATTAAACTTTATTTTTATTTCTCCTTTCTTTTCATGCTGTTCACATTTGTTTAAGTTACAACAACGATCTTTACAGCAGAGAGGGATTGCTTGACACCGATTCAACCTAAGTGTTCATCTAAAAACCAACCAAAGACAAGAATCCACCAAAATCAACGTTAATGGTTTTCTTTGAACTTTGCCAAACAGATACTTTTGGAAAAAAACTGTAGGCCTACTATCTTGATATTCCAACGTGCTGATGTTATTTTACCAGTACTCAAAATCTCTACTACAGAAGAATTTATAACCCGATGTTGCAATACAACAATTCTTCAATCTATAATAGGCCTATAGAAAATTCAAATGTAACCATGTTAACCCTCAATATTATTGATAAAGTAAAAACAAATGTTTAATTATTATTGGAAGCATGTTTCCCAAGATAAAGAAACCAAACTTTCTTCCTAATGTTTTTTTAATTGTTAAAAAATATGAGCGAAGTAATTTTATTAAGAAATTTATTATAAGCACTTTTTTTATTTGAGGCTGGATAATATAGCAACACAAATTTCTCTCATCAGAAATATCAATATATTGGGCTTACACTATAGATTGTTAAAACCAACTTTAAACTTGAAACACACTAATTACATTGAATACAACGATGCGGGAATCTTAAATTGCTTATATCAGAGAGCCGATACTTACCCAAAGTAATAAACAAGATATACATGATGAAAACCATGAAAACTGTTTGGACAGTACATTTTTAAAATTTCAATGCATGTCAGTGAATAATTATGGATCAGACCGTGCTGTGAGTTAAAATAGTTTAAGAAACAATTATGTTAAAAATACTTTTATACCCGCCTGAAAAATTAAACGAGGGCTAATGATTAAACACAGACTTGATCTGTAATGAAATTACAATACAAATATTTCTATTATTTGTTTTAATGCTTTCATGACATTCATTCTGCCAACAAGAATGGTGAAGATGATGATGATTTCTTTCAATTCTTTCATGACATTGATTCTGCTAACGAGAATGATGATGACGACGACAACTACAGCACAAAGCGTTTAGTTTTTATTTCTGTTCCACCAGAACACCAACAATACAACTAGAGTACCAATGTAGTACAGTAGTAGTAAAACTTCATTTTGGCCTATTCACGAAATACAAATCAACAAATATAATGCTATTTTTTATTATGGTCGTCACATACCTTATATACAATTACTGTAACATAAATTACACATATGTTACATAATAAACAAAAGTTAAACGCAGAAATTATGTGACAGATACAAAACATAATTATTATACAGTACGCAAAAGTCAACAATTTAGTAAAATAAAAGTAATCTATAGCACCAATGTCAAAATGAATTATGGAAATAAAGAAAATCCACAAAAGTAAACTGTAAATACTTTGTTTTCATTAATTATTAATACAAATTCAGTTCTTGAAAATACTTTGATAGAAAACTGTACATCAGGGCTTAATCTATTCCATTTCGATAGCACTATCATATGAAATACTACTTTTTTTTTAAATTAGTCCCATGCATTCAGTTTGCCTTGATTTCCGTCCGAATGACACAGCTAGTATAAAATATAACAACACCTCAGTACAGTAGCGGTGCCCATTTAAGGATTATTATGGCCGATATCGAAAAAAAGTTTGGCCGTGAGATGGCGTGTGTTTGGCCGTGAAGCCTGTAGACTATCTGGCAACCCTGAACACCACTGCTTTGCACATGCTAGGGCTACAAGAGCCGCATTGTTAGCATTGTATAACTGAACAATTGTTTTTCTTATTTTAAGTCGCTAATTAATCACCGTAATTTAGCTTACTCTTATGCATGGAGGGAGCACTTAAAATGTACAATAATCATTCCACTACCCGACAAACCTCGAACTTATTCATCATGCCGTATGGCGGTTCAACTTATAATTACTACACGTAATACGCGTACTACATGTACTACGCGTACTACGCGTGGTATTATGACCACTCACGGTAAAATTGTGTCAAATAAAGTATACCAAATAGGACGGTCACTCATGTTTAACTTTATATACCTTCTGACACCTGGATTTGGAGTCTAGTTGCTGCAAAGCAGCCAATTCATATTCTTGACAGCAATTTGACCTCTGAAAGGTCATTGTCAAAAATCAATCGCCTGAGACAACTGAAAAGCGGAGTTTCCTTCTTTCGTTCTGCCGGGTAAAATCAATTACTTTAGGCGACGTTTGTAGACAAACCTACTCGTACCAACGTCGGCATGTCCCGACGCTGGAGTACTATTCAGCGTTTTTACTATATTTTTAGGTTTCCTATTTCTACGTTTAATCGGCTCATGTCTCAGCCACAATATTTTGAGGACAATATTATTTACGAACCCAGTTAAACTTATTTACTAGCCTATTTCAACGTGCTAATTATTACATTTAGGCGCCGCTTGTTGTAGACTGACATATAGCCTGGGTTCCAGGCCCTAATTTTAGGTTACTCACTCTTTATTGCACTTAGTGCGCGCCATACCTAATTTAATTGGCGTCCCATACTCGATTTCTTTTTTTCGAATTATTCCGTCTATCTCTAAATTAACTTTCTCGTTGGTGGCGCTGTCCAGAATGAGAAAAATAATAACAAATAAGAGACTTGTGGCAAGTCTAACCGGCATAGTGTTTGCGGAAATAAATACCATTTTATACACATGCGCAGATCGATTCGCCAGCAGCGAGTCATCGCCAGCAGCAGCGAGCCATCGCCAGC